ACAGACAATTTTCTGTCTTGAGCTGTAGTATATATTACAAACTTCAGATACCAAATTCGAAACAATTCCGGTGAATAATGTCGCTAAAATCATCAAAATACCGCAAATAAGAAGGTACCGTTATATGGGGGCTATACGAAGGCGTGGACCAGAACGGACAATTTTCTGTCATAGGATGTAATATCCATTACGAACTTCAAATACCAAATTTGAACCGATTCTGGCAAATGTCACTAACAACAATTCCGGTGAATAATTTCGCTAAAATATTCAAAATACCGAAAATAGGGAGGTACCGCTATATGGGGGCTATACGAAGACATGGACCTGCACAGACCATTTTCTGTCATAGGACGTAGTATAAATTATGAACTTCAAATACCGAATTTGAAACAATTCCGGTGAATAATGTCGTTAAAAGTCATCAAAATGCCGAATATCGGCTGGTGCCGTAATATCGGGGCTACACGATGACGTGGACCTGCACAGACAATTTTCTGTCATAGGCTGTAATATCCATTACGAACTTCAAATACCAAATTTGAACCGATTCTGGCAAATGTCACTAAAATCCCCAAAAAACCGAATATTGGGATGTGCCGTTATATGGGTGTCCTACGAAGGCGTGGACCTGCACACACAATTTTCAGTCTTAGGCTGTAGTATCCATTACGAACTTCAAATACCAAATTTGAACCGATTCCGGCGAATAATGTCGCTAATATCATCAAAATACCGAACATCGGGAGGTGCCGTTATATGGGCGCTATAAGAAGGTGTGGACCTACATGACCCATTTTCAATACCAAAAGTCCTACAGACATAATATACATTTGAGTAAAATTTTATCAACCTACTTCATTTCGTTCGGAAACTACAGTGAATTCCACAGACGGACGGGCATCGCTAGATCGACATAGAATTTTGTGCTGATCAAGAACATATATATACTTTGAGGGGTCTAAAATGTATATTTCGAGGTGTTACAAACGGAATGACAAACTTAATATACCCTCTATACTATGGTGGAGGGTATAGAAAGGGATACATGATATCAAAAAGAAAACAGATAAGAAATGTTTTATAGTCTTTTTTCTATAAACGGTCAATTTTCTATAGCTAATTTATGCTAAAGAATTCCTCAGAGACCTCTCTACAGATACTCTCTACACTAACCTAAATTTTAACATTTCAACATAGAAGAAAGAATATAGGTAGTCGCGTCGACACAGCTGCTGGGACAATGAACTGTCAAACCAACTTTGGAATTGAAAATGTTAAATAAAAAATTATTTAAATTTGTAAAAAATTTTGAAAAACCCGAATTTTTATAGTCTCCGACTGACGTAGTATAAGAAAACATATAAAAATCTATTTATATTTGCAAAAAACATTTAAATTTTTTTGACATATCAATGCTCCCAAGCGATGATGCATCTACCTGTATTCTTCTGCCATGCATTTCAATATAAATCAATGAATAAAGTTTGAGAGTCACAGGCTTGGTTTTAAAAGCATTTAAAAAACGCCTAAAAGTATGCTTCATTTTCTGGAACTACAATTGAACAACAATGCCATCAAGCAAACGGACAGTAGCTAATTAATGCATTTTTTATTAGGTCTCATTCATTGTGTGTTAAAAGACAAATAATAGCCCAAATTTTAATAATTAACGCCAATAAAATAAATGAATGGCACAAAGAAAATAAAATAAAATCTATTGGCATTTTATTAGACGTATTTGGATTATTGACATAATAAATTAGTAAGATGTTGCGTTGTTATCAGTTAACAACAAACGCCACAACAAAACCATGACCGATAGAGACGCTAATAAATGCCATTGTTAATTTATAATTTTTTTTAACTATGTAGAAATAACAAAAACAAACACTAACATAACCAATTAATGTTCAATTTCATGGTAAATAAAATCAATTTATGTTAATTGAAAACAAAAAGTGGCACAATAAAAACCCTAGCAACGACAGAAGGGCTGCTGGCTTTGGATGATATGCGGGATGAATGTGATTAATAATATTCATTCAACGAAGGCGCGTCCAAAACACGTGCAATTGGTTTACATCATAGGAGGAGCATAAAGTGCCTGAAGCGGTAAAGTCTTAAGAAATGTTGGGCCTCAATGCTCACAACAACTGTTGCAGGGGGCTGCTCTACACATCAATTTATTTCTATTTGATTTATTAAAAATAAAGACACTTTTTATAAAAAATGACTGACCTTACAGTGCAATTACATGTGTAAAATCGAATACATGTGTGTGTGTGTTTGCATACAAATATTTAATAGCCATTGATTTGTAAAACAAAACCAATTGGTGTGGTTGGGTTATTGATGTGAATGGCTTTAATATAGACATAATTGTCGGATAGTTCGAAAGAAATTCCTTGATATTATATTTATGATTGTTTTGACATTTTAATGACGCTGTTTAGAAAATAGTTCCAACCATTAGAAAAAGGTGTAAGTGACATAAAAAAACAATGGCTGTGACAACCCTTTGTAATAATCAGCGCTTTAATGATTTATGAAGAGTTTCTTTCGAAATTGACGCTTAAGACGTTTCATTGAGACAGAAATTCTATCTAAAGAAAAGAAGAAAAGAGACTGAAAAAAATTAAAATTCAAAATCGATTAGTTAGGAATACTTATGAAGTAGGTAAATAGATGACCTCAAAAGGCCTTATTTGTAGAGGATAACGAGTAGAAACAATTCAGGTGAATAATGTCGCTAATATCATCAAAACACCGAATAAAGGGAGGTATCATTGTATGGGGGCTATAGAAAGTCGTGGAACCTGCACAAACAAATTTCTGTCTAAGGCTGTAGTATCCATTTCGAACTTCAAATACCAAATTTGAAACAATTTCGGTGAATAATGTCACAAAAATCATCAAAATACCGAAAATAGGGAGAAACCGTTATTAGGGGGCTATACGAAGGCGGGGACCTGCAACGAAAATTTTCTGTCATAGGCTGTTATATCCATTTCGAACTTCAAATATCAAATTTGAAACAATTCCGCTTAATATTGTCGTTAAAATCACAAAAAATGCCGAATAAAGGGAGCTGCCGTTTTATGGGGGCTATACAAAGGCGTGGAGCTGCACAGCATTGAGACAGAAAATCCACCCAAGGAGGAGGAGGCGAAAAGAGGTTGAAAGGGTTTTAAAATTCAAAATCGATTAGTTAGGAATACTTATAAAGTAGGTAAATAGATGACCTAAAAAGGCCTTATTTGGAGAGGTACATTTGGAGTCGATCTAACGATGTCCGTTCGTCCGCCTGTCTGTCTGGCTGACTGGTGCGCACGATAACTCTCGAAGGGAGTATCCGATTTCATCCAAATTTGGTACATCATAATATTATTGTCAAACTTAAATCGAGTTCGGAGATGGGCAACCCACTCCTTCTGGTACCTCCCCCACAAAATGTCAACATTTTCAAAGAAAATAATTTATTGCACAGAAAGAGAAATGATAATCCGATTTTCAAAGTTTTGAATAACCAAAACGATCATAAAATCCGAAATAAGCACCCGGTTTTCTTTAAATTACCCACATCACAATATTTTTATTAATTCAAGGTTTGGTGTAAAGATGGAATATATCGGTACACTTCTTCTGGTGTCTCCCCACAAAGGGAAGGGTCAAAGTTTTGAATAACAAAAAGGCTCATAAAACTCGAAATAAGCATCCAAGTGTCTGCAAATTACGCACATCACAATATTTTTTCCAAACCACTGCTTCTGGTACCTCCCCCACAGAGCGCCAAAAATTTTGAATATTCACAAAGCTCATAAAAACACGAAATTAACATCCAATTCCATTCAGACTTGGCATATCTCAATATTTTCATCGACACAAGAGCTGCTATAAAAATGGTAAAGATCGGACCATTCTTTCTGGTACCTCTCCCACATAAGGTTCAGCACTCAAGCGCCGGCCATAGTGATGGCCGCCATAACAGCCGATGGTCGCTCTCCGCTCGAACTAATTGACCGTGGCATCAGAATAAATGCCGAATATTATCGCGAAAATATTCTGGAGGGTGTATTAAAGCCTTGGGCACGCAAACTTTTGGCCGCGGACCTTGGACATTCCAACAGGACTCAGCACACGCCACCCAAGAATGGTTACACAATGAGGTTTCTCGCTTCATTTCCAGCGCACAATGCCCATCAAAAACTCCGGATATCAATCCGTTGGACTATTGTGTCTAGAGTATTTTGGAAAGCAAGGTTGGTACTAAAAAATACCAAGGTATTGATCACCTCAAGCAAGCGCTTCGCCGGGAATGGGCCAAAATACCACAGAGCAACATTCGGGCAGCGTGTGACGGTTTCATTGACCATTTGAAGGCCACAATTTTGTGCCAAAAGTGACCAATTCTAACAAATCTTAACTTATCCTAAAATTTGATGCTATTTCCAATATTTTTTGCTTTTGTTCAATAAAATTTAAAAAAAAATTTGTAAAAATTATGTCGTGTGACGGTTTCATTGGTCGTTTGAGGGCCAGAATTTTGTGCCAAAGGTGACCGATTCGAACAAATCTAAGCTTTTTCTAAAATTTAATGCTATTTCCGACATTTTTTGCTTTCATTCAATAAAATAAAAAAAAAGGAAAAATTATGGTGTTGGACTTTTTTTGTAGTTTTTTTTTATCTCACCCTGTACATAACTTTGCCAAAGATCTATTCTCTACTTTAAATACTGTCATAAAATCTCACTAAAGCCGATACTCTTTTTTCCTGTTCCTAGAAATTCAGGATGAGTACAATGGCCCAGGTTTAGAATTTTAATAGTTAAGATTTCTCAGAACATTGGACAACTTCATGTGCGCCACTTTCAGACGCAAAGAATCTCATTCTATGAATGTCTGGAGACTTTGATATTTTTGCACGGAACTCAAAAGTATGTCAAGAAATGTTTAATCAATTCAATTAAATGGTAAAAATACTAGAGAATACCACTTACCATTCAAAAGCAGTTGTGAGTCCTGTTTATTAGGATCGGGTTCCTCTTCGATGCTAAATTGATTGGTTAGACGAATGCGAGGTGAGGCATTATCAACACTGCTCGAAGACTGGTGATGATGAGGAGCATGGCCTGCGGCGGTTTGGTGATTTAGACGATGACGTGAACTGCTGGCACTTTTCGACAGAGGAGAATTATCCCCAGCCGAGCCACCAAATACAGAACGTGGTGTTTGCAGCTGTTGTGGCGGAGTGCTGCTTTGATTTTGCATTTCAAAGGATTTTCGCAACAAATCATCGCCACCATTAGCAGATGGCGGCGATGGATTGGATGAATTGATGCCATTCTGCATGATTGGAGTAGGAGTTGGTGTTGTTTGTTTGAACGCATCCAGGGTAAGGCGAGGTGTTGGTGTATTCCACCATTGTAATTTTGCAATGTTGGCCTTATTCGTATAATGCTGTAAGGTGGGTGTATCTTTGGATAGAGTTTCCTCCTTGTCCATGTTGTCCATGGCTTCTTGTTCAGAGAGTTGAGAATCAGTGTGGCCGTTCATTAGCGGTACTTCAGATGCTGCAGCCGGAAGGCCGGCATCCTTGAGAACAGTGTATTTTTGCATTTTTGTATAATTTTTGTTCGTTTTTCTTGGATTTTGAAATAAATGTGCGTTTTTAAATTAGTTTTTTTTTTAATTTCCGTTTTTTGATTTCTTTTTTTTTTTTTGGTTTCAAGCGAGTTTTGGGTTTAATGTTTGTGTTTTATATTTCAATAACTTGTTGTTTTTTTCTTTTATACAAAAAGTCTTTTATTTTTTTGGTAATTTCTTTTTCTCGTTTTTTTTTTTTCAAAAAAGTCCTTCTTTTTTTCTTCTTCTTCTTTATTTTTTTTAGCTATGTTGTCTTGTTGTATTTTGTTTCCTTTTCATAGAGCAGTAGATAATGTCAGCTTCGCAGCTTCTTGGCTCCTGCAGCAACCCTTACATTAGTGTTATTAACAGCAATGCGGCCAGCACGGCTTGAATTATCATTGTCTTCTTCCAAACTAATGTTACAACAACAACAACGATAACAACATTCTAGACATTGCTGATATGAATGTAATAACGACACGTCTCTTGGTTGACTGAGTTCCATTTTGAAAGACAAATTATTGTGATCGTGTGGAAATTTAAATCAACCAGAATTGAGATGTGATACGATTCCAACGCCACCACCACGAACAAATCAAAGCGATGATGTTCTGGCGTTAAATGTATACGGCGGCTAGGAGAGCTTGACAGGCAGCAGCAGCCAGGCCAGTTTGCCAGGTTGTTTTTTTGTTCTAGGCCTTCCTTGTAGTAGGTATCTCCACCAAACCAACCAACCAAATAAACCTTCAATTGGGGGGATGGGGTTTTCAATTTCAAACAAATCGATATCGAAATTGAAATTGAAATTTCCGCATGAAAATCAATACTGTTCTAGACGGGCGATTTAACGATTGCGTGAACGTGTTTTTAAGCGTCTGCGTTTCAATTGATGATGCTGTGGCTGCTGTTGGAGGTTATGCTGCAAACTTAAATTGACCGTTGACAAATATTGCCAGGCTGCCAATGTCTTGGGCAACCAGCAATCTTTATCCTTGATTATCAATCATCCATGATACAGATGCCGTGACTTGGCCAACATATGACATTTGCCTAGTATGTCCGGATCCTCGGGTCCTCCCCCGCCGCTGCGTTTCTCAAAATAGAATTGTTCAATGTATTCTTTTTGCAACAACACCAGTGACAGATTCGAGACTACAATGCCATGCACAATGGTTGGAATTTTAGGAACTGATTTAACACCAAAGAATGTGGTCCTTCGGCTTGATTTGCTGTACAATGGATTTCGGGTTGTTGCTGCTGCTGGTGCTGGTGTTACTTCGACTGCTTTTGCTGCTCGTACACCGTCGTGGCTAGTACGATGTCTTCGTTGTCTACTTCTCAGTTTTAATTGTTTCTTTGAACTTTGAACTGAATGCATTACGATTTAAACAAAAATTGACAAAACTTTGTTTAATAAGCGTTGTTAAAAGCGCTTAAGTACTGGGTTACAATAATGACAAATAGAATTTGTGTGTGTGTGTGGGGGGTATTGACTTTTTAAATTGTTTTCTTTTTTTTTTTTTTTTCTGGGGATAATTGTTTTTAAGGTTCTGTTTTTAGATTTTCACAAAATTTCAGTTTTTTGTATTATCGCTTTCTTAATTGTTTGTAATTATTTCTTGCACTTTTCTGGAGATTTTTTTTTGAAGTTTCTCTTTGCTGTTTTATCGTTTACATAAAATTACACATAAACTTAGAATTTTTGTTAACATCAAACGACAACAGCTCTTGTTCTATAAATTGCTGAACTATAACTAATAGGTTTGAGGAGTGAAATAAATTTAATAATAAATTATTAATAATTAATTGCTTATTACGTTTACTAATTGTATGCATTGATAAAGATTTAAATTTTTGTTTCTCATGCACACTCTGAATAATCTTCATATTCATTTCGCACAATTTTCCGGGCACTTGCTGATGTTTGTTGGATAGATAGTTTATTTCTTTTGTGGAGATTTTCTTTCAATTTCGTCGTTTCATTGGATTTGATTGATTTAATTGTGGTTTCGAAAGTAAATTTGGTTCCTTAACAATGTGATATATTTTAACATTTGCAATTCCTTTATATATATTATAGCATATTTTCAGGCGTTTTTTTTTCTCTTTTGCTCCTATTTCAGGCCAGACATCCAACACGTTTGCCGGTATATATTCAACTGAATTCGTTCGCAATCAAGCCGTTTTCTCTCTTGGAATTGGCACTCAATGGAGGAGGTGGTGTAGCCGATGATGATGCTGATGATGCCACGCTGCAATGAAATACCAAGAAGAAGAACAAACATTAATAAATCTATGTAAATGTCATTCAAAAGTGTACAAAGATGTGTGCTGCTGTATGGCTATGTGTCCGTCGTGTTTTTTGGGTTGAAAAATCAATAAAAAGCCATTCCAACCAAAGAAATGTGGTTGCTCTGGCTCTAACAGCCAAACATACATGTGTTGTAGTTACGAATAAATTGCCACTGTTGCTCTGCTGTTGAATGATTGTTGCTCTGCTTTTGCTGGCTGCTCGGTTCCTGGTTACGCATTTGTGAACCGGGGCATGCGCCATGCCAATGATGGTTAGGTTGAAATGTCGTTCGTTATTGTCGTCACATGATGCACAAAAATCGTCATCATCATCACCATCGTCAACAATTGAAAAGAAATAACAACAAATTCTCTCAATGCTCCCCAATGCCAATTACAGGGTGTAAGAAATTGCCACGTTTTTTTTTTTTTTTTTTTTTTTTCAGTTCTTTTGTTTTAAAACGAAATTCCAAAGTTCAACAAGGAGGAGAGAGGAAAGATTTACCCACAAAAGAGAAAAAGAAAAAAAAAAACCGCAATAAGAGAGTCTTCACCACCAATGGTGAGTGGCAGTTTTAATGATGAACATTAAAAATGTCAAAAGGTACCATATTTGGTACACAAGGGTACTTTACTTAGCCTAACCTGCTTGAACAGGAAATTCTAATTTAAGGTCTGTTAGAAATTTGGATATCATTTTTTACATAAAGAAGCTGGAAGCATTGGATATCATATATGAGATTCATTTGTTTTTATTCTGGAAACCAAATAAGAGGATAGTAGAAAGACCGAATGAATAGCGGATTGAAGAGAAAAGAGATGGGAAATATTCAGTGGATTTTATGTTAAACAACATAATCACGACATCGATAGCTAGATTACCAGATTTGATCCCCGACAACTTTTCTTTGAATGTCATCTGGACCTGACCTTATCATAGACGACCTACTTGAGACAGATTAATCTATTGAGAGGCAGCACTATTAATATGACCAGCACTATTAATATGACCATAAAATCTGGCCTTCTTGACCTCGCTCGGCAGCTTACATGAGTTGTTTGGGGGAGAGCGTTTAGAGGGCAGTCACAAATCGTACAATGTGAATGGCATTATGGACCGGAATACCTGAGTACAATCCTCCTGTCTTGAAATGAGATCAAATTAGTAAAATAGTATCAGTCGGTTTGATCAATTCGTATCTGGCCTAAGACTGATATAAATATTACAACTTGTCGGATATGGACTATTATCGACTACTTCATATACTATGGCCTGCGTTAGCAAAAATATTTGGATGTGTGAAATTTTTTTGAATTCATCAGATTTTATGGAAGTTAAAATTACTCAAAACTTTGACCATTTGTGAGGGAGGTATCAGAAGGAGTGAACCGATATAGTCCATCATAACACCCGAAGTTGGGCTAATAAAAATATTGTGCTGTGTGTAATTTAAAGAGAATCGGATGCTTATATCGTATTTTATGATCGATATGGTTATTCAAACCTTCTACAATTTTGGGGAGGTACCAGAAGGAATGGTCCGATCCCAACCATCAATGGATCGGATGTTAATTTCGTATTTTATGAGGTACATGAATATTCAAAATATTGACCTTTTGTGGGGGAGGTACCATAAGGAGTGGACCGATATTGTCCATTTCCGAACTCGATCTAAGTTTGGCAATAATATTATGATGTATGAAGTTTGGATCAATTGGATACTTCCTTCGAAAGATGTCGTGCGCACTAGCCAGTCAGACAGCCGGACGGACGGACATCGCTAGATCGACTCCAAATGTCCTGAAATGGATTTGGTCCAAAGAGAACTAGGGTCTAAAACCGTTTTTTCGATGAGGCATGTTTTGGTCGTATCAAATGATATATACCCTCTCTAGCCATGTGGCTGAGGGTATAACTAGCCATATGGTTGAGGGTATAAAAAGAGAACATCGAGAACTTGATGAATTGATACCAACTCCATATTGTTGAAAACTACTTCTATAGCTAGGAAAACTGCCTAACCCAATGCCTCGTAGAGAAGAAAGCGTACTGTACCTTGCTAATTAAAAGGCACTTCAAAGAGTTTCTAATTTCCAGAAAAAGAATTTGCATAAAAAAAAACTTATAGAAGGCCTCCTCCTTGCAGGGAATCGACGGATTGTTTTCTATTCAAAATAAAGTCCTACAGGAGATAATTTATGTACAGTGAGTATTTTCAAACTCCTCTAAAAGAATGGAGAATATCCACAGAAGACCCTTAGAAGTTGTTCTACCTCCAACTAAGATTAAAGGTACAAATTTCAAGCATACTTTTTGGCGGCTATCAAGCAGCATTGATTCTTTAAACTTGGACCACCTCGTCCAGCTGCAATTCAACTCTATTTGATCTTTTTCGGTGGGTAGGTTAGACTTAGGGATGCGAAACAGTGGCAATAGGAAAGAAAAGATATGGAAAAGAAAAATAAGGAAAGGTTGGTAGAAGTGTTCCATTTAAGGTTCAAAAGGCCAACACCTATTTTTGCTTTATATATATTTTTTGGACCTTTCTTGATTTTATTTGCTGCAGCTCACTGCTATTTTATTTACGCTGAATAATTAAAACCTTTAAATACATTTTATTAGCATGAAAATCTGTAAATTTTCGGTGCTGTTGGTAAATTGGCGTCAGTATTCGAAACCCAGTAGAAGATAGGTTTACCTAGTCAGGGGATGCTTTTATCAAACGTATAGTTGATGATGGTATCAACATCTGAGAAAAACGGAAGAGTTTCCTTCTCCAACCTACAAAATAACATATGTCGCTTCTTTGCTCACATGGGGCATTTGCATAATAGAGGTGTTCAATGGTCTCTACCTCTCCTTCATCCCCACATACTCCATATTAGTCTGGACCATTTTTATCCCGATTTGAGCTCAGATATCTGATACTGCAGTGATTTGTCAATATGCCTTATGCGACTCTTAGATCAGAGCTACTAATGATAGAAGGATTTGGTTTTTACTTTTGAGATTGCCAATCAGATTTCCTTAGATACCTTGCGACCAGTACAATTTTCTATCACCTTCTTGGATGAAAGCCTTTTTGCTTCATCATTCGGTGTAAAATTCGTCTAGAAACAACTCCGAGATAATTCACCAACCATTTCATTATCCACTATGTTAATATTGAATTTTTATAGACGCCATTTTAATTGATTCCAAAAATCAGTTAGAGTTTTGGACACCAAAAGAGTACCATTATAATTTTCGAAATTGACATATGGAAATCTTAATCCAGATGCAAAACATACATAGACATATGCAAAAAGTCTCTATTTAACTTAAAAAGGTCACGGTAACATTTCAAGTCATCACTGGTACACACAAACAATTGTTCGTGACAACAATTTATCACAAGAAAAACGGGCATCAATAAAATTTATACGCTTACAACCATCCGCCTACCACAAAAACCATATTTAAAATGTACTTTCTTTGTCGGTAGTCGTACGTTTGGCTTATTTGTTATAGGGATTCTCACAAAATTTGCATGGTTTCGGGCCGGAGATGTTAACATTGAATGTAGAGAAATATACAGCAACAGTCTGGGCAGAGTGTGTCAAGTGGAAAGAAAATAAAGGTGTCATCGACAGCTGTTGTTGGCGCTGCACAAAAATTGAAAACAAAAAAAAAAAAATGACAGCGATTGTTGGGTTTTTGTGCTTCTACTCTAAATATTGATTGGAAATCTCAAAGGGGTTTAAAGCAGTTCTGTGAATAAAATTAAAAATTAAACAATTTCTGGAATTTCAAATAAACAAATAAATTTTACGTGCTATGTACATGTAGGTAGGTGACTGGAATATATTGTTAAACGAATATGTTTTACCAAAAAAAAAAAAATAGAAAAAAAAAAGAATTTTGAGATTTTTTTTTGTGAAATAAATGTAGATTTGAGTGATTTTGAATGAGAATTCATTTCACATATCGAAAATCAGAAGACACCATTATATGAAGGCTATACTGAAAAGTAGACCTACATTCAATATTTTTGCGCGCAGTAAATCTACCGAAATAACAAACTACAGTTGTTTTGTCGACTATATTGGGGGTTATATAAAAAATGGACCCACATTACACCTTGCATCCGAAATGTGAAATTACAATTGATTTGGTTGGAAATAGGGGCCGAAACTTTCTGAATACTGAAAATCAGGAGGTACACCTACATCGGCCGGAGTGCAGGAGATATCTGGAAAACAGTAGGGTGTCCATTAAGCTCTGTTGGGTTCCTGGTCATTATAATATTTTAGGCAATGAGACTGCAGACGAATTGGCTAGGCTAGGGTCCAAATCAGCTATCATTGCAGTTGAGAAATCGGTTAAACCAACCTTGTGACACTTCTTCCAGGTAATTCACAGACACTACTCTAAGAGAACTCAACAAAAGTGGCACGATGTAAAGGGATGTAATATTTCCGAGATAATCTAGCGCATACCCTCTGAGAAGAGATAAAATCGCTGCAAGGTGAGTTCACTGCAAGGTGAGTTCAATGACTTCGAAATGGAATAGCGATGACATTGATTACTGCAGAATCTGTCAAGATGAGGTAGAAATTGAAACCGTCGAGCATTTGCTCTACCACTGTCCAGCACTTATTAATGCGAGACATGGGTTAGTGGGGGGACACAACCGTTACACGTTCTGCCTTCATCTCTAAAACTGATCTACAATAATTCTTTAATTAGCCAGCAGAATAAGGTGGCATAAAACGACACGGCAAAATTTTTAGACGTGGACTACCCTTATAATTCTTTATTCCTACTAATAACTTTCTCCCCTCTTTTCCCTAATCTTTATTTCATTGTACTCTCTTCACTTTAGGATGAACGTAATGGACCAGCAGGTCTCCGAGTGGAGCGGTTACCAAAATGCAACTACAAGTCCTTTAACCTAACCTACATAGGGCTATAGCCAAA